TTTCTCTAATTTTATTTGTAAAGAACTTTTGCTAATGCCAAGCATGGACAGAATATTGTGAAGTGGTTTAAGTTGCGAAATACATGAAAATGTTGCTTTCCAGGCTGTTCTGGGGAAAGTTTGGGATCTTACAAGTTCATGCTTTTCTCAGCAAGGAGTATTAAAATTGAGTTCAACACATTAGGGTTACGCCCTATTGTAAAACAAAGGACGCATGTTCTACCACAAAACATGATATGACAGCTGATCCGTTTGTTTACCTACCTCATCTAAACATTTTGTAAAGGTATAGCAGTCTTTTGGCTTGAAATGACACCTGAAATCTCCACATTTCGACTTCTTTTCTCAAAATACTATTTTAAGTTTAAGTTTAAAATGTCACTCTTTTTTTTCTTAATGTAACCGTAGTACGTATAGAGCTGTCAGGAGATTAGGTGGAGGAGAGCCAGACATTAGAGCAAGAAGGTAAAAATTCAGACAGAGGACAAACCGGGCTCTGAAGAGCCCGATAAAGGGCAAAATAAAGACACCAAAAGCTCATAATGTCTATGTCATTTCTATGTGTAATGTCTAAACTTCAGAGCCCTGCATTAAACAGTTCTTCTTATTATTAATGGTAGATCCCCACTCAGGCCACTCAAAAGCTGATATGCCCTCCTCTGAGCTTTCACCTTCCTGCTCTGGACCATGGACATTGGTCCAGACTTTTACTGCATAGACTCAGACTCACATCACAGACACAGGACAAAAATTAATTGTTGGACCTTAGGAGGTTTAAATAAATAAAATATTTTAGAAAAGGTGAATGGAATAAAAATCAGAAGATTAAATGCAATTTTTTAAAGAAGATTTAGAAATGAAATGTGAAATGAGTCTACCAGGATCACTGTGACACAATGAAAAAGTCACATCAAATATTTTAAATACAAAGTTGTATAATTCATTGCATATTTTCAAGTTTTATTTAATATTCTGTTTCATTTCAAGGAATTATGCAAAATATATAAAATTAAATGAGTAGAAACGATGTTGTATGAACATATTTCCAGCCTGAAGGTAAAAGGAAAAATACACCAGATATTGTTACTTTTACAGTCCATGACACTCTAAATGCTGCTCTCTGTTTGGCTCAATGAATGAGTTAATACACTTACACATCAAAGTACTATGACTGTATCAGCCTGAATCAAGGCTTAATTTTATTAGTGACTGTTAAATGGATAGTTGTGCAGTTCCATCTAAATAGCAGAGCTCTGCAGTGTGAATTGTTGTGAAGTGTTCAGGCTGGTGCTTCTCTCTCTCTTCTTCCTGTTCACTTTTTCACAGCGCAAAAGACTCAACAGATGCTTTCGCAACTTCTGCGAGAGCATATATAGCAGAGGGTTCATACAGCAGTGAGAATAGGCAAGCATTTCACAGATATGGTAGGCAACTGCTAACCGTTTCAGTACCTTACAATCATTGTTTGTATTGAGAGACTTGATTAAAAGCATAATATGGTATGGCCCCCAGCAAATGAAAAATGCTGCAACAATACACAACAGCACAGCCACAGTCCTGAACTTCCTTCTGTTTAAACCTTGCAAAACTGTCTTGAGGATGGCAGAGTAGCAGAAAATAATGATGGCCAGTGGGAGGAAGAATAGCAGTGACACTTGGAGATAATGTCCAAGCGTGTCTTCAGATTCAGGCTCGCAATAGTTTTTACCTTCTTCTGAGCTTTCAACCTTTACTTTCATTGCATCACTCAGGGACGCTAAGATGCTGATGACCCAGGCAGCTATACAGGCACCAATTGCACACTTCTTCACTCTGGCATGGCTGATTGGCCAGTTGTGCAGTACAACAGTAGTAAAACGATCCACTGTCATAGCAGTCAGCAGAATGACACTGCTGTACAAACCAACAGCGAATCCAGCAGTGATAACTTTGCAGACAAAGTCCCCAAAGACCCAGTGGTGTAGGTGATCAACAGCCCAGAATGGAAGTGTGATGGTGAAGATCAAATCAGAGCAGGCCAGGTTCAGGATGAAAATATTTGTGATACTTTTCAGATT